GTCTTTCTTTGGCTTGCTTAAAAAGCTATTGCTCTACTATTTTGAAATTATGGAGAAGTCTAAATTGGGACTCAGGGTGAGTGAGGAAAGAATACAACCTAGTTGGATTACTTATGATCTTCTAATAGATATATCAGTGCAATTATTGGGATGGACTTCAAAAATAAAAAGAATGGAAAAGTCAAGTAATTCAAAGTGATTGGGATGGGGTGAAGGAAAGAATGACCTTGTATAAGTCAGTAAATGCATGAAATAAGGTAAATGAACTGTTATACAGGAAATATATGAAATAGAAGACGGGAAGAATAAAATTGATTTTTGCCAGTTGTGATAGTAATACAGACAGGATGAATTTCTTTATCAAAAGACAGAGATAGGAAGATTGTGTTTTAAAAATGTGAAAATATCAAAGGAACAAAGACATGACAGAAATGAAGAGATGAGAAAAGATGAAATGGAGAATTTCAAATGAGGAAGAGGCATGGCAATGCTAGTTTCATATAAGGCAGAACTCAAGGCCCAAAACCATATCTCAGGGGTTAGGGGGATAAAGAATTGGGCTCGGGCTACCCAAGGTAGCCAGGATTTCAAGAATTAAGCTTCTGGAGTTAAGTGAAGAGAAGGAAGGTATTCATGTGAGCCCTTTTCCCAGTTAGTCACTTACCAGTCCATTTGAGGGATGGACTGAGAGGTGGAGTAGCGAATAATCTGTGCTGAGGGGATAGGATCAGGGGATAGGATTTCAGAGTTCTTCGAGATGGAGAACACCTCAGGCTTTCATTTGGAAAAAGGAAGGCATATACCTTAGGTGTAAGGATAAACTGAAAAACAGTGCTTATGAAAAGCGAGCCTAAAATAAGCTCAGTCCCTAGTTGGATTAAAGAGATTTACGACAACTGCCTGATAAAACTGAAGAATGCCTCTCTGAACAAGAATACTAACATTTTATTTCCTTTTTTTTTTTTTTTTTTTTTCCCTCAACACAGTGTCCGGTATTCAATTAAAGAAAAATTACCAGGTATACTAACAGCCAAAGGGGAAAAGGCCCCAGAAAACAGAATATCCCAGGTAATCAGCTGTCCGGACATCTGTGATTAACATTTGAGAAAACCGATGAAACCATGGAGAATTATTTCAGAACTAAATACAATAAAATGGGAATTTTAAAACTAGAAATACAGTGATCTATTAAGGCTATAATACATTTGTTGAGCAGCAAATCTGAAATAGCTGGTGAGAGGTTTAATAATCCAGAGAAGGGAGTAAAACTACATGGACTAAAGACTTAAAGATGTAAAAATGTAGAAAAGTTATTTGAGTTGTAACCATGGGTAAAATTTCTATTATCTGGGAAACGAGTCTAAGAAATGTGCTGGGGAGAAAAGTTGTAGCAGAAGCAATTCTTGAAAAGATAATGGCCAAAATGTTGCTAAATTAGCAAAAGCACTGAGCAAAAAATTAAAGAATGAATATAAACACCATGCAGGACAAACCCAAAACTAAAAGACCTATCTGGGCACATCATAGTTAAATTTCTAAAATACAAAGAATCCTACTAAAGTAGCAAGGGGTGGCAAGGGCTGGTGGTTTCTAAGGGACACTAAGTCTGACAGCTGAGTTCTCACTATCAAACAAAATTATATAAGCTAGAACTTTGGAATGCCCTTTCTAAATTACTGGAAAACCAGAAACCTTGAGTTGTATATTGAGCAAAAAATATGCCTAAAAGGAAGGCTAAATAAAGATGTTTGGAATAACGAGCTGAAAGAAAACTACATGGTCATTCTAAAATTCAGAAGTAAGGACTATGAATCATGGAAAAGACGGGCAGAATCATGGAAATGACAGAAGCAATGAATGGCAACAGAAATGGTCAATATGTGGGAAATAGTAGAACACTTATGTCCTATGTTTTTTAATAGGGTACGTAAAATTAGACAATAGGAAAAGAGAACATGAAAGATAGGGATAAATGGAGTTAAAATATTCCAGAGGTTTTCCATTATCTAAGAAATGGTAAAATAATTTGTTAGGCTCTATTAGGTTAAAAAAATAAATCATAAGGATTTAAAAGAATGGATAACAAGCTTATAATGGGGAACAATGAATTCTTGATCAGGCCATAAGAAGGCAAGGATAGAAACTAGAATATAAAATAAATGGGACAAAAGAAAAAAAGTAATGGTCATTTTAAACCCAAATACTATGTATCTGGGCTGCATTAGTTATAAATGGGTTAAATATTCCAATGAAAAGATAGACTGGATTAAAGAAAATTTTATGTGCTGCTTGTAGGCAATGTACTTTAAATATTAAATCAGGAAGTAGTGACAGTAATAAGATGGAATAGGATATATTCAGAAAATAACCAAAAGGGAACTGGCAGAGCTATACTCATATCAGATGAAGTAGATGTTAAAGCAAGAAGAATTGCATTTAATAATCAAGAATCCATATAAAAGGATAATCTCAACTTTCTACGTAGCTAGTAACCCAAGACCAGGTAGAAAATATAAATAACTACTGAAGAAAGTTTAGAGTTGTAATTAAAGAGAACATTTAGAAAGTTTCCAGCATGACAGAGCTTTAGAACTAAGCTCTATAAAACCTTTTAAAGAACATTCCCATTTAAATATTTGAAGACCACAGAGAAAAAAACCAGTAATATCCCAAATTTATTTAATATAGCTAAAAAGAAAAAAAAAAAAACCTCGTAAGAATAATAAACCAACCAACAAAGTCCTCCAAAGCCAATTTCATTTATAAATGCATTGCAGGAAGGCAAGGGCAGTTCAGATCTATCAAGAAAACAAAATACCCTTTTTTCAGCTTCAGTGTACTGATATATCAATAGATGCTAAAAAGACCATATTCACTGGTAGAAGAAATCTGTTAGATTGTATACACAAAATTCCATCTGGACTAAGTATCTAAATGTAAAACAAGTGGAAACAGTAGCAGAGAATTCAGATGTTTGTGCTGAGCACCTTCAGGCTCTTGGTTAGAATTTTTTTTTAACCCTTTCCCAACTGCCATCTCCTCAGCCTTCTATCTCGGATTTGTGATATAGAGCTTTTTTATTTCCTTATTTGACTTCCTCCATCACCTTATTGGAAGTCTCCAAATACTTCTCTTACTCATCTTCGTGCATTTAGTGCTCCATACATTGTAGCTGTGTTGTAAGTATGGCCACATTGGTGATGACCCCTCCTCGCACCCCCACACCCATCCAGCCTGCCCGTCTCCTGGAGCGAGAGCAGAATAGGAGCAATGTCATCTTGTGCAACTTCTCTGCAGTTTATTTTCTGTAAGGCGTTTAAATACCGCGGGCTGGTTGTCTTTGCTCAGAAACAGCTCCTTGGGACAAGTGCTATTGAGCTGCACGTGTATGGCAGAAGGTAGAAGATGGGTGATGCTCCCAGCCTCTGTCTCACCAGTGAGACTGTGTACGAGGGGAACACTCCAATAAACCTGATGATAACATGGTTTGCTTTGTTTGCATTATCGGCCACCTTTGCTAAGCGCATGTGTTTCAGTGGTCCTTTACCCTGGTTACTCCTTAGTCACCCCACCATGGACCAATTAAATCCCAGTGCTCCACATGTGTTCTTAGGTGTAGCTGGGATTGAGAACCACTGGTCTTTCATTCTGTTGTTCCTGATAGAAGGAGTCTGGGCCCAGAAACCACATGCTCCTTTCCCCTCCCCCCACAAAAACGGTTTTCTAAAGAAGGTGGTCATGCAGTAGGAAGAGCATGGCTTGGCACCAGAAAGCCACAAAGCCTCTCTAGGCACCGGTACCCTGATTGATCAGATAAGCATAATGAGCTCTTCTATCCACCTCAACTTGTACTAGGAATTTTAGAATGGAAACTAGATAAGACCCTTCAAAATTTGAAAATCCTGCAAATGTAATTTGTTAGCATTTCCATCAGGAAACAGGCATTGTCCTGTGTCCTAGCTATGGGGTCTGGTGCGGGTCATTTCACTTGTTGAAGCCCCATTTGCTCATCCCTAAAATGGAGTTACCTGTTCTGCAGAGGACCCCTTTAGCAGCCAGGCAAGCAGGAGGAATGGAAAAACACAAAATATCCTATTGCGTTTGCTATTAACTTGGATTTTTATCACAAAGACTCTGAAATTTTTGGTGTCAAGCCTGCCGTCAAATCCCATAGCCTCCCTCCTGTTAGCAGATGCAAACACCGCTGTGGCCACAAGCAGGTGCAGTGTCCTTGCTTGAAAAGCTTTGTTGCCTTAAATCCCAGGGAATTTTTGGTTACAAACCAAGCCTGTTGAGGTGACAGGTGCCATTGACTTAGCTACCTGTGAGCTGACCCTTTGGCTCCCATTATCTGGGCTTTCCTGCCTGTTGAGTTGGTTGTAACAGGAGATCAATACTGGTGAGAGGGGAATGTGTAATCAAAGCAACTGAAGGGAGTTGAAATCTTCGGGTGTGTGGTGACCTAACAAGAGGAGGGGTTACAGAGGTATTGGGCGGGCAGAAGTGCCTTGCCCTTGAGCTAGTCCTGCCACCTTCCTCTATTCTCACCTTCTGCCTCCGAGTTACAGCCCCTGGTACCTTTCTCCAGCCTCTGGAAGCTGAGTATTCTCCAGTGTGGGGATCTGCCATCTTAAATGGACAAGGGCAGGGATGACAAATGTGGAGGTCTCCAGGGGAGCTCAAGAGTTAGAGTAGTGAATTTGAAAGTGCGAGATGAGGAGCAAAAGCATTTGAAAGCGGCTATGGCACAGTTATTTCTAACTGGCTCTGCAGGTGTCTGTTCTTAACTGGGCAAACTTAGGTTGTCAGCCAGTGATGTTGATACTTTTTTCTTCCTAAAGCAAATCTGAGAAATATGACATTGCAATCTAGAGATGACAATAACAAAACACCCATGGAGTCCGTGTTATCAGCTTTTCGTACAATAAAACAGAACAAGTGTTTATGGAAGGCATGGATGGTTATTTCAGATGAGCCCCTGAAATCCTGTACCCACTTACCCACTGATATGGTCCAAACAGCAATTATTTTCAGAAAGGCCTTGGTTCTGGAGTTGAACCGGCTATGATGGATGGGGTTCTGGATGGCAACGTAGCGGTCTAGTGAGATCGCACAGAGGTGCATGATGGAAGCCGTGGAGAAGAGCACATCCAGGTAAATCCAGACAGCACAGAGCTTGCTAGGCAGAGGCCACCGGTAACCTGGGATGCAAGAGGTTAGCATCAATAAGGGATCTCGGGCCTCCCACGGTGCGGTGCAGGGAACCCAGCCTGCCAGAAGGGCTGCTATTCTGGGGGTGGGGTGGAGTGGGGAAGGCACAGGTGGTGGCAAAGGGCAACACAAGATATTTTCAGTATTTTAAAAGCCCAAAAACAATTGTACTGAACAATGTTCAGATCCTACAAGCTGATGAACTCAGGGTTTAGAAATTTCTTGGGGCTGGAGTTCTATGCCACTGTGTTGTGGTAACCTTGGGTTGTCTTCAGGGTTTCTCTTGCTCTGTGTCCCCTAACAGCATCTACCTTTTTCTCTTTGTTTTTAAGGAGTTAGAAGTCTCGATAGCTTTGGAGCTCCTCTAATAAAGCGCCTTGTTCACGTCTTTGACGTACTGTGGGTTCCCTGAGGTTCGGCCCACCTCTTAGTCTCCATAACTTTAACGGCTCAGGCTTGCACAGTGATATCATTTAGTGGTCTCTCAATAAATGCTATTGGTGTGAATGAATAAATGATGTAAAAGTCCAGATTGAGAATATTTTTTGGAAAAATGAAAAATAATTACATTATGCTTTAGGGGTTCAACTCAAATTTGGGGTGTGTGTGTGTGGGGGGGATATGCAGAAAAGCATTGTGTTCTTGTCCTGATGAGTGTTTCAGGGCAGTGGTTCTCAAACTCAGTGAGCCTCAGGGCCTCCCAGGTAGGGTCTTGAAATGGTACTGTTGGATCCCACCTGGAGGTGTCGATTTTGTGACTCTGCAGTGGGGGAGGAGAACGGCCATTTCTAACCAGTTTCCAGGTGGTGTTCCTGGTCCCGGGATAACACTGGGGCAACAGCTGCGTGCAGCAGCGGCTGTCAGCCCTGGCTGCACTTGAGAATCAGCCGAGAAGCTTTTTCTCTAGGTTCTGGTTCTCAGGAGGTTAGGAGGAGGTGGGCCCCAAACAGAGTGTTGTAGAGCTGTCACGATGATCCCAATATGAAGAGCACAGCGGGAGGCCCATAATGCATATTCTAAGTGTCCTGTTCTTGTTTTACAGGGGATCCAGTGGTTATATAAACCCAAATTAGTTTTGATAACTGTGTAAGCGATGATGTTACATCTGCGTACAAGTGAAAAGGCAATCCTAAAGATCACCTTTTCTCGTCAGTAGTCCAGACCCGCAAAGCTGAACAGATTCGCATGTGCAAGTGTACTCCACCAAAATGCCACCACCTATATTTGGGGAAGTAAAGGGTGCAGGATACAAGTCTAACTTAATGACTTTCACTCTACTTGCCAAAAAACGAGCTAAAACAAGAGCCTCTTCCTTTGCAGTGCCTGGAGGGAAGCCACACTTTGTCTGGTCGGAACTGATGTTGGCCCTTGGGAGTTCTCTCTGCAAGGAGACAGCTGAGGTCGGGCCACAGTCTGGTTTCCTAAGCAGGGATAGGGAGGGTCATTTCCTCACCCTGAGGGGTGAGAGAGGACCAGTCCCAGTGAGAGTTGAAACTCTGGCTGGAATTGGCTGCATGCGGAGCAGCGGCCGCTAGGGGGCGCCGTTGCACCCCGAGCGGGAGGCGGCGGCCAGGTCCTAGCTTTTTAACCCAGCTGGTGGGTGCCTGCTCCCCATCTGCTACTGGGGTCACCTCCGCCCTCTGGCAGTGGTTTTAGTGCCCTAATGGGACCTCTGGGAGCCATGCACCACTTCCGGAGTTTGCCTTCGAGGCGGGGGTCGGGCCTTAGGAAGCCAGAACCTCTGCAGCATGTCTGGGAAATGACAGGCAAATTTGATGAAATCATCCTGGTGTGACATTTGAGTGGTCAAATGGAGGTTGTCCTAGCAAAGAGCAGTATGGACCCCGTGCAAACCGGCGCCCGCTCTCCATTGCCCATCTCCTTCCTCCTCCATACCCTTCTGCGCTGGGGTAATATATATATACTTTAGCCCTTAAGACTTGGACAGAAAATCTCCGCTTACAAAGACCATAAGGTGACTGCTACGTGCCTATGTCAGCAGTCTAAATACTCTTCAAAAAAGAAATCCAACTGTATTACTCATAATTTGAAAAGAACAGCACGTTCTGCTTCCAGCTGAAGCCGTACCAGTGTTTGCTGACTTGCTGAGAGGTTTGACTCTTTCAAACTGTTGAAGAAAGCAAGATTAATGTCTTCCCATTTGTTTTCTACCCTCTTCCAAACCAGACAGGGGGAGTTGATGTATATGTATTTTTAAAGAGTTGAGGGTCTAATTTAAAGGCATACTTCTAAATTAGCTTCTCTGGAGGTAGGGAACAATTGAAACAGGAGTTAATTTATTTATTCTAAGGTAGAAGCTGCATATTTTAACATCAGACCCACTGTACCGCAAAAGTTCTCCCTGCACACGTTCCAAGGTAATTGGGAAGGTTTGCCACTCCATTAGAAGTGCTGAAAACTGTGTGACAAAGCTAAAACTGTTCTGTCCTGAAGGCTGGGATACTTGGGCATATATAGAAGCGAAAATCCAGTGGATTCAGAATGACAGCTAAATTACTGCTTTATGACTGTATGGGGGGCATTTAAAGTGACTACATAAAATGGATGTGTTTCAAAGCACAAACTCTCCAAGGATAATGGGTTGTCTGATCTCTTAATATGTGAAAGCCAATTTAAGATTTAACCAGCGTAACATGGTAGACCCCTGTCTATAAATAAACCCTTGTGTTTAGTTTGTCCCTTGAGCCTCCACTCATCTGCTCCTAACATGCACACACTGTCTATTACCCGTGTGGGTGCAGCTGGGAGGCTAAGGCCACTCACCATACAGGATGGTTAGCATGGACACGGGCATGACAAGGAAACCCAGCAGCATATCAGCTATGGCAAGTGACATCAGGAAATAGTTGGTGGCGTTCTGCAGCTTTTTCTCTAGGGACACTGCCATGATGACGAGTATGTTCCCAGCAATGGTTAGAATAATCACTACAGCTGTCAACAAAGCAGACCAGTTTTTTTCCTGGAGATGAAGTAAGGAGAAGCATGGTGGTGAGAGACAGCCCTCACAGGAAAGGTTGGTTCGATTTTCCGAGTCCACTGTCCAGTTAAATACATCTGAAGTGTTAGCTTCTGCGGAGTTAAAGTCATTGATGTAGAGCCTAGGGTCCTCATTTGATTGCATTAAGGAGTTTGTTGTTGGGCTCAATGAAGCATTTTCCTCAAAAAGAATATCCATTTCTAAGCCGGAATTTGTAGCAGATGAAGTAAAGAAAAACTACCAAGTTAGAACCTCAGCTCGCCATCCATCTTTCTGTCCCCACGCTCTGTCACACTGAAGCCGGCGTACATGCTGGGCTCCTTGGGTCGCCTTTTTTCTCTCATGATTACAATGGGAGCTGAACTGCAGTGGCTTTTTGTATCTCCTTCCTTCACGGGGTTAGTGGAGTCTTGTTTGGTTTCATTTATTTATTTATTTTTTTCCCTTCAAAGCAAGGTCAGAAAAGCAGGATGAACTTTTTAACAGAGGTTGCAGAGTTTGGAGCATTCGGGGAGAAAAATGCGATCCTGGCCAGGAAAGAAAAGTTTTGTAATTACCAGGAATCTCATTGAGCTCTGTCTCATTTTGTGGGTTTTGTTGATCCCACTAGTTTAGCCACAGCAGTATTAAAACAGCATGCAATCCAAAACAGAGGGGCGGTACGCATTCTACATTAAGAAAGGCAATTAAAGATACATCCTGTGTTAATCCCATAGTAATTGGATGTACTTGGGGCTATAGTTCTCCATCTCTAGGCTGAATGGCCACAGCTGCTGTCAGGAATTTCCATTTGCATTATGCTTAGTTAAAAAAAAAAAAAAAGAAAAAAAAAGAAAAGAAAACTCTTAAGCAAAGATTAGCAGACAACTTTTCACACCAGAAATTCTCACTGAAATGATAACATTTTGACCAAGCGTGATTTCAAGGCAGAAAGAAAATTAACACCGAAATAAAAGACAGCAGCGTGAGAACTTACATTTGTCTTCAGGGTCCACACGTTAGACATACTTTGCTGTTCTGGGACTTGCTGCATCTCCCACGGTAATTAAGCCAGTGTAGAGTCCCTTCTTCTTGAGCCTCAACCGGCATAACAGGAGAGTAATTTGATTTCTGTTTTGCTGACTTCAAAAACTGCAAGAGTGGAGCCAATTCCAGCACTGCGCGGTCTGTGTTCGCCGGCTCTGCCCACACTCGGCTGGGTCACTCCCTCCCTGCGCGGCTTGCCTGAGCGAGGCACACGTTCAGCAATCATTCATGAGCCCCTCTCCAAGTCGCACAAAAGAAATCCCTCCGGAAAGTAGGGAGAGCTGCCTGTGCCAGGGGACTCGTGGTTTCCCCGAGAATGGACTGGCTCTCAGGCTGCCTCCTGCACTTCACACCAGACCTCCTTCTATCTGTATGTCAGAAACTGCAAGGTAGCAACAGCCCAGGAGGGCGGACCAAACAGGCGTTCCCCCCCCACCACCCCCTTGTTTCTCTCTCTCTCTTTCTCTTTTGGCCACATGTTAACATAGGGAAGTTCTCTTACGTCAGGAATTGCCTTTTATGCAGATGGTTGAAGCAGGTAAGCTGTGCTGTTGAGGTTCTTAGGGTGGGGGAGCACGTAAATAAGGCTAGAAAGTGGCATATCCTGGGAGCACTGTAAGCGTGCCGTTCTTCCCCCCAGAGCCCACAGTGCTGTCTGAAGTGCAGTTGCTGACGTCAGCGACTTGGGCTCAGGGCGGCCAAGCTCCTCCTGGAGATACTCAAACTATCAGTAGTATTTTTATTGATCGGTAGCATGCTCCATTCAACTAACTTATTTTCCCCAGAAATAAACTTACCTAGAAGTAATTCAAAACCTCACATATGGAAGAAGGGTTTTTCAGAGATCATTTTAAAGACCTCCTGCCTTCTTTGTTTAAAACAAAACAAAACAAAAAAACCCTTCTCCATTCTAAAGACTGAAGCTATGTGGCAGGTACACGAGGTGTATATATGTATATATACTAGATAGCGTTATTTTTACAGATGAAAAAAAGGATTCTTATCCTGAAGAGTGGTGGTTTTCTAGGTTTCTGTTCTTATCTTCACATTATCTCTAGACAAATTCTGTTACTTGTGTTCCTTCAACATGTCCTTGGACAAATCAGTACCTTCTTAGCAGGTGATTTCTCTGCTCTTGACCTAAATATCCAGCTGCCTACTGAGACCTTCATCTGTGCCCTAGAGGACCTTGACCTCTGCATCATTCTCCCATCCCCCTACCGGCTTCTTGGTGCGTATCTCCACCCATTCTCTTGGTCACCAGAATCAGCATCTCTTGAGACAGCTGGCTCTTAGCCAAGACTCTTCCTTCCTTCTCCCTGCCTGATCTTGGTCTCCAGGGCCACTTGTGTGTACACAGACTTCTCATCCTCGAGCCCGCATTTTACCTGTCTTCTGGGCTGGAACCTCTCTCTTGTGGGAACTTGCCCTTGATGCCATACCTTGGAGGAGGAGAGTGTGATTGCTGTGCAGTTTGAGCGGGCAGCTGAGAACCTAGGCTCTGGGTTACAGCTCCTTAGTTTTAAATCCCAGCTCGATAAGTACAACAGTAGAACCCTGGACAATCTAGCCATCCTCTTTAAGACTCTGTATTCTCACTTTAAATGGGATCATAGTTGTACCTCCTTCAAGGTGGCGGTGAAACTAAAATGGGGTCTTGCATGTAAATACATAAACCAACATGCTTAGAGGATGTTCTTAATGTTAGTCATTTTTATTAATCCTATTTGATGTTGTTGAAACAATTGACCTCACTCCCACCAATTTGTGCTTCCATCCCTTTAGCCTCTCCCTTGTGGGACACAACTCCCATCTTTGTCCCCCACTGCTCCCGCTTCCCAGGCCTAGACTCCTGTTTTCTTCTATAAGCAGCCTACATGGAGACAAACTTGCAGGTTGATAATTTTAAAGTGTTTGTACTTGAATTTCCCTGTGTCTGGAATGCTCTTACCACCCCCTCTTAGTATCCATCTGGCAAATTCCTACTCAGTTTTCAAGGCTCAGTTCTGAAGGTAAGTCCTTGAATCCACTCCTGCCACTCAACCCCTGAGTGACCTGGACTAAGCTGCTTAACCTCTGTGCCTTAATTTCCTTATCTGTAAATAGGGGAAGATAATACCTATATGAGAGGATTGATTGAGAGTCAGAATGTACCGGGCATGTACAAACTTGAGTGCTCTGTAAAGGCTAATCATTGGTTTACAGTTGTCAAGATTTCCATGGCTCTCTTCCCCAGTATGGGCAACGGGCATGGTATTTTCAGAAGCTTTCTCTTCAATCATGTCTCACCTTGCATGTAGGCAAAGACTACATTTGTCTTGTTAATGGTCATACATATAGTGCTTAGGTCTGTTTGTTGAATGAAACATAGGACTGATAATTTATATGTCTGTCTTTATTAGATGGCGAACTTCTTAGTCATCTCTTACCTACAAGACCAAGCATGGTATCTCCTGATGGAAGGTCCTTAGTAAATGCATTTTGGAAGAAATGAGTTGGCAGCCTGTTTTAAAAAGCTTAATCAGGGAGAAACAAAGAACTCTACTTCCTTTTTCATTACTTTGTGCAGTGGGATGCTAAATTTTATTAAAGAGGGCAAAGGGAAATATTAAAAATTTTGTTAGAAAATTAAGGCCTTTTTAATTTTATTTTATGGGTTGCTGTGTTTTTCTTGGAGAAACCTGATGTTTTCAGGCTTGATGTCTTCAGGGGCAGCCAGGTTTCCAATCATGGCAAAGCTCATCAATGAATTCCTTGGTATATGGTTTCTATTGTGAAATAATTTTGTTCATAGCCATTGGAGATTATTTGCAGTTCCATGAATACTAGTCCAGGGCAAAGGAGTGTGTTCAGAAAATCAGACCCTTGGCTACTCTGTTAACAGCATGGGAGTTAGATTTGGTGGGAATGGTTTCTTGGAGGTCAGACACTCTTGAGTTTCAAAGAGGGCTGCATGTTGGCTGCTAAAGTGAACATTGGTGTGCAGCTCAGCAACCTCTTTGGGACGGAGGCACTCATTCTCCCTGTTGCTGGAAATGTTGAAAGCTGGTGGCTCTCAGCTGATTCTTGGTCTGAAAACTACTCTCAGCCAAAGAGACCACCTCGCCCATAGCCATGTCTCTCCTCTAGGGCAGCCAGAATACAACTGGTTTCTTGTGAGGATACAAAAGTCTGGTTTCCCTGCCTTGAGGCTAGATGAGGTGGAAGGGCCATCCTAGTCCCAGAGTCTCCATGGGATCTGCCCAGGCCTTTGTTGAGATTGCATCACTGTTAATCTCCTCCCCATGCCTAGTCCTGCCTCCATCGTTCCCCTGCAGGTATGGATCTGGAGCTCTCAGCAATCAGTCTCCCACACACAAGTCTGTCTCACAGTTGCCTTCCTGGGGAACCTAAGGCCAATATTTTTAAACATGTGGGTTTTTTTTTTTTAAGATTTTATTTATTTATTTGACAGAGATCACAAGTAGGCAGAGAGGCAGGCAGGGGGTGGGGAGAGGAAGCTGAGCAGAGAATCCGATGTGGGGCCCGATCCCAGGAACCTGAGATCATGACCTGAGCCCAAGGCAGAGGCTTAACTCACTGAGCCACCCAGGTGCCCCTAAACATGTGTTTTAATGCTTCAATGCCATTCTGGATGAGTTTAATGTCTTTAAACAAAACAAAAAAATTATATGTTGACGAATACTTTCTTCTCATAAACCAAAAGTTCTGCAAGAGACAACTGGCTTTCCTGTCTAACTACTTCCATAAAGAATTTAAGGTTGGGGTGCCTGAGTGGCTCAGTGGGTTAAGCCTCTGCCTTCGGCTCAGGTCATGATCTGAGGGTCCTGGAATCGAGTCCCACGTCGGGCTCTCTGCTCAGCAGGGAGCCTGCTCCCCACCCCCATCCCCACTTGTGATCTCTCTCTGTCAAATAAATAAATCTTAAAACAAAAAAAGAATTTAAGGTCAACAGCCCCAAAATAAACTTATTTGGGACACAGTTTCTCAAGTACATAATTGGACTTTCTTTAGGGATATGTTTTGCAACCAGTTTATTATGGGAAGTATTCCCTAAAAGAGGATTGCTTAAATCAGGTGGTTTTTTTTTTTTTTTAATAGCTGTGGCAGTATTTGTAGCCCTTAACTTTTTTCCAGTTTAAAGTTAGTGGGTTCTGAAACATCAGTGCCTTACAGATGTTAGTATATGTGTGAGGGCGATTCTTTGAGCAAGTAAGCCTGGAACATAATGCATCCTATAGCCTTCTCTTAGAGATCTGGAGTGTATGTTAACCTCTTAAATGCAGCAAGAGATGGTGCAGTGAAGAAATTTGCTGATCTTACCTTGCTCACTCCCCATCTATGCCCCAGAACACCGATTTCAGGACCCTTTGTTTGATGAATATAAAATGTAACCCAATTTAAAGTGTCAATATATTAAGTATATAGTTCGAGCTTTGACAACTATATGCCTGTGTAACCATCCCCCAAGTCAAGATAGCCACCATTACCCTCACGTGTGAAAGTCCTCTCATGTTATTCTAACCTTGATTTAAATGGAAGCATGTAGTATATTCTCATTTTGGTTCTGGCTTCTTTTGCTCAACAGTATGTTTGTGAGACTTACTTACTTACTTACTTGCTGTGCATAAACTTTCTATGGATTGTAGCCTGAAAAACTGTTATGTGGCCTGGATATTTGGGAAATCATTTATTTTCTCTTGTTCAAAGAAACATGGACTAGATCCTTGATCCATTCTTTTTAGTTTTTTTTTTTTTTTTTCAAGACCATGCCAACTTTACCTCTGCTCAATGGACTAGATTTGATTTTATTTTTAAATGGCTGCATAGAATTCATTAACTCTATGTTCTTTTTAAAGAATACGTCCCTGAGATTTATGCTGTCCAAATCTTATTAATAGTCTAGGAATGAGAACAAATTTTTACAAAAGATTTCCTGAATGATAAATAATCCATTCCTCCCTTTGGATGTTCCAGTTCTCAGGTTTAGAACAAACCAGATTGTTTGAAAACAAGGCCTTAAATTGCCTTCTCTTACACCACTGACTTGTGTAAAAGAAACAACTACTTGGAATTAGCTACTAACTTTAAATTTTCTCATAAGGGTATTGAACAATACTCATGAAAATAACAGATAACCTTTGAGCACTATACTGTTGTAGTGCTGAGCATAACATTAAAGATAAGGTTCCTGCTTTAATTCATGTACTTAAGTAGTTGGTGATAGCAAGTAGGAGTACAGGGGTATAGGGAGGAGGTATAAACTTGGTGATCAATGGCATGTGGATGGTATATAAAGTGTGAAACTGGGTGAGATCATCTGGGGGGGGTGG